TCTCCATCCTTGATGAGGAGTGGGTGTCTTGCCCCTAAACTCGCTCGACATTGAGGAGTGGTTACCTTGCCCTAAACCCATGTGACACTGGAGATGGCATGGGCTGAGCCCGGGCCGGGCTTTGCACTTATGATAAGGGCTATAGCTTAGGCCTGGGGTTACGGGCCTGAAACATAAGCCCTAGCCCAGGTTTACACAGGCCCGGGCCGGGCTAGGCCTTATTTTAAGCCAATGTCTTTCATATATAAAACATTTCATATCTATAATATTTTATATTAAATGACATAACATGCACATAAACCTATTTTATACATTATATAATATAAAATATTACATATAATATAAATTATACATGTCATGTTATAATATTTATATATAAAATATATAATCTAATGTAAAATAACATGTATATATGTATACATTATACACAATGCGTAAGTTTAAATATATGCGGGCCAGGCCGGGCTTGAAGTATTAAGCCCAAGCCCAGCCCTAAAATTTGCGGGCCCGATGTGGACCCGGCTTGGGCTGGGCCTGAACACAAAACCTAGGCCCAAGCCCCGAATTTCTAGGCCAGGTTGAAATGATCACCCCTAGGGTAGAGTCTTGACTATGGGGTAGGGAAAGGGATGGGGTGCCCTACCCTAAACCCACCCCGTTGTCATTCCTATATAATTGTTAATTATTATGGAATTAATAAAAATGTTAGATTTTATAATTATTTTTATTTATTTAAAATTAATCAAAATTACATTTAAAAATAATAAAAAGAATAAAAATTATTAAAATTACTACAAATTATTAATAAAACTAAATTTATTAAAAAATATTTGTTCATATTCAATTAAACAATAATTATTTTTTTATAAATCAACATTAAATGAAAAATAAAATTATTAAATCTTTCAGATTTTCCCGTGCATCGCACGGGTCCCTGCTAGTACTATATTATATAGCAACATAGGCCACATCAATAACCCTCTCCTTCTTCCATTCCCCTTTCTCTCTTACCCGTTCCTAGCCCTTCCATGTAGCCATGTGGCAGCCCTCTCTTCTTCATTAGAGTCCCACTCCAACCCTCTCTTTCATGTTCCCAATCACTTAGCCAACCTCCTAAAATTTCTCCTAGACTATCTTCCTCCTAAAACACTTCTTAATCTATATATATTACATTCCCAATAAACCATCTAAAAACTAAAAATGTGGTTAGATTAATTTGGATAGTTAAATTAATTTGTGGAATATTTTTGAATATAATTGAATATTATTTAGTAAATATCAACACCTAAGCTATAATTTTTTGTAATCTTGGTAAATTGGAAAATTTAATTACTAAAAATTACTTGTTGAAATTTACTGATTTTGGTAATTTAATTTAGTCAAACTTAAATAATAAAACTTCCAATTATTCAAATAAATAATTAGAAAAAATTAATAATCTCCATAAGTATTGGATACTAAATTTATAATTACCATAATTATTGAAACTATATTTATGGGTTTGAGGTATGATCCCCTGGGTAGGAAAGGCAATGGGCAGGGGTCATACTCCCCGTCCCAGCCTCGAATTTTAAATTAATCCCTATCTCTGGCCCTAATCCTTGTTAGAAAAATTTAGCTTGCATCCCTGCTCCTTGATGGAGATGGGTTCCCCATTGGGAACCTGAATCCCCAAATTTTTTAATTAAAAGTTTGTTTTTAGAATTATATTTATTTAAAATAAAGGAAAAATTAAAATGCAAATAATATTTTAAATATATTTTGAAATATATAATAGAAATCATATTATAAATAACATAAATAATATTATATATTTAATATATAATCGGGGTCAGGGTGGTGTGTGGACTTCACTCTCTGTCTGCAATCGGATATTCCTATTAATCCTATCCCCACTCTGTTTCTGCTAGGGTAATCTCCATCCTGTCTAGTTGGGGAGGCCAATATTCGGGGGGATGGGAAAAATTGCCATCCCTACCCTTGAAGGCTCGAATTATATATCTGAGCAATAAATTTTAAGTCGAATAAGTCCTAACATCTTTTTCTAGTGCATCAAACTCCAAATCCAAATTTAGTCGTGTTAGCATTTGGCAACAAACTCCAAATCCAACTGATCAGATTGCATTCTCGATATTGGCCATGAAATTTCCAATTTTTGACTGTTGCCTTGCTATTGGCAACTCAATAGATTAAAGCCTTGTCAACTATGTGGCATCCAATACAGTCTTCTTTCACCATAACAAAGGCTTCTGTCTTGTCTTACGTGGTGACCCCATGGACAAATCTACAACTTATATTTCTCTTCACAGTGAATTTCACTTTTCAGGCGTCACTGATTTGGACGGTCAAACCGGTTCACCACTGCCAGCAGGACCCCC